GGGACGTCGGGAGTGAGAAATCTGATAGCCGTCGTCGTTGTCGTCATCGTCGTAGGGATAGTAACAGAGATGGCGGTGACAGCGATCGACGGCGGCGGCGGGACATCAGGAGTGTGCTCCCGGGTGGCGAGGGAGCTCGTCCGCGTAAGCGCCATGGGGCTTGGTGCAGGGCTCACAAGGGAAATTTTCGCAAAGCCAGCAAATATGGCTCTTGCACTGTTGCTGCACCAGGTACGAAGATGTCTAACGAGGTCAACTATCACAGACTTGCCGATTTCTCTTCCGTTTGCGTAGATGGGAAATTTTCGCTTCCATGTAATCGCGAGGAAGTTATCCTTTGTGCCACGATCCGCCATGTTTGCACTCTTTGATCAAGATCCCGTCTGATTCCAGTACTTACTAGCTGCAGAGTTGCTTTACAGCATGCAGTAGGAGGGCTAACTCATGAAATTTCAAACTAAACTCTGAAATCCGTTCTCGTTTCGAAAACATCAACATCTTCCAGCATAATTATTTAATGATCTAGTTATCTGAGGGTGCCGACTTTCTAATAAACTTATTTCCGACTGCGTGCAAGAACTATATTCTGCAAAAATGATTACTCCATTATATGCAGTTTTCTCATTGATGTTCGATGTCCTTGAAAATTCAGCTATTTTTCATAGAAAACATGCCTAAGTATATTCACTCTGTTCCTTATTCGGTGGAAACGTACGTCTTCTTCCGATTTTATATTCGAAAGAAGCGTATATATTCCGTTTTAAAAACTCTTCTAATTCCCGAATGATTTTGAACCCGACCTGCTGTTACACTTGCATTCAGGGTTTCAAAACTAGAAGCCGTATATTTTCCGTGTACGGAAAACCATGCAATTCTCAACGGTATTAAGAGGAGACCATATGTGGTTCATAAAATTAAACAGCGGATTTAGCAATATTGCTAACTTTACATGCCACATTCGTAAATGCAGATACAGGACCTTTTATGAACGGCCATTTCACGGTATTCAAAAATCTCACAATTAGGGACTTTTTTGAAACCGTGTTATACCATTCTTTTGAGTATAAAACTGGATGAAGACGTGATTTTCTACCGAATAAGTAAAAGAATGAGTAGTTTTATGCATGTTTTCCATGCACTTTAAGTGAATTTTCAACGTCATCAAAAATCAATGAGAAAATTGAATACTACTTAAGTAGTCATTTTTTGCAGAGTACAGCTTTCGCATGCAGCCACAAAGAAAAACGTTCGAAATCCGGCATCTTGAGGTAACCGGATCATTATAGAATTATGCTGCATGATGATTAGTTTTACAACCCTACTTAATTAGTCTTTTCGAAACGAGAACGCATTTCGAAATTTCAGTTCACATTTTATGAGTTAGAAGAGACAGTGGCGAGCGAACGTTCTTTTCGGTAGATTCTCATCAGGCTAATACAGTTACATAGGGCGGCTTACAGTGAGTGAAACAAAAATCGATAAAAGTTAGGTTTTAAATTACGGGCTAGGCAAGAGCGGAAGGGCGCAGAAAGTTGCATGTGGTTAGTCAACCTCTGACCACGGTAAGCGCGGAGCCCACCTACTGTGGCTGGTCTCTGCGGGGGAAAGAGGCAGATCCAGGCCGTCTGTGAAGCCGTTCGATGGCGGCCTCAGAGATTGTGCGTATGGGTTTTAGAGGGCACTTCTGAAGCACACGGCCCAGCGCTCTAGAAGCTGCAATTTCTCCGCCAGTAATTTTGTTCCGCTCACTCAACTAGAGCAGTTTGTTCCTCGGCTCCTTCTTCGTGCGGGCTTTTCAGTTGCGCGTGCGATTAGAGTCTAAGGTTATCATGGTGAGCCAAGCGTCGTGTCTGGGATGGTTTAAATGTTAGGAAACTATCTTTCTGCATTTATTTTCACAGTTTTGTCCCCTTTAATATTGAATGTAATTTGATCCAGGAATTGACAATGCAGAGCTTCAGCAGCAACAGGACTTACTCCAAGAAAACGGCTACCCAAAGCAATTAATCCTCTGAATTATTCGGGAGCGCACTCCAAAGCCTACTGTGGTAACTGCAGAGACTTGTTCACAAAGCTTCCTTTTCGAGGGGGCGCAGCCAGTAACCTGAAAGACGACTACTAGCGCTTTCCCCACGGCGAATGTATGCCTATGTTTCACGAACTTTCCCCTCCTAAACTTGGGAGGCAAAGACCAACCAACTGTGCAGGCCACATCGATGTGAATTTATTCATTCACTTGCTCTTGTGTGGCGGAATACAATGACGCGCCTGGAGAGGGGGGTATGAACACAGGCTGGCTTTTCTACGCTGAGATGAAGACGGGCCGATTTCGAGTTTTCTCGCTCATCTTGACGATACCAGTCATCGAATCGATGCCAAAGAAGACAACCAGGTTGCCTGCCGGACACCAGCCAGGTTCTCAAGAGGCCTACGCCAAAAGATACTGGCTACAGCCGAGGCAGTGGCTATACGGCTAGCAAATCTAGTTCTATGTTGTAAGAAGACATCGACAAAGGCGCTCTGTCTTCTGTAGCCAAAGCCGACCCCAGATGGTCATTACACGCTGGTCCAGGCATGCGTGCTTCACGTACCTGACTTATAAACATCCTTCACAGCTTATGTCACCAACTCAGTCCTCGCAGTCAACCCAGTTATGCGTGCTTGTGTAGAGTGGTGGAATGGTGGGCTGAGGGTCAGGCCGAAACGGCTCCTTCTTGACGTGAACTCCGGCACTCTCACTCATGTGTGCAGTGTGTGTGCATATGGGTAGTGCGTGCAGTTGATTACTGACTAGTTATCCTGACTCTGAAAAGCGTTGACCCGGGCTCAGCACAGATTTTGTTTGTGTGTGTGTGTGTGTGTGTGTGTGTGTGTGTGTGTGTGTGTGTGTGTGTGTGTGGGGTGTAGGGGTGTCAGCGGTGGGTCCACGTGATGGTCGTAGTGGTCGCTCACCTGCTTGCAGGTGAGACTACGCCTAGCGTCCATTTGCTGGCACCTAACTCTCACCTGTGGCTCCACGTAGCTGGGCCCTGCTCAGCGGCCACACCCCGGGCAACCGTCTCGACCGGCGGGCTAAACCAGGTGAGGGTATCCGTGCGTGCAGCTGCACGCGCGGTACTGCTATCTGCGCCGGCCGGATGGATCTTCGCGTCGACATCGCCGAGACGAGGCTCTGCCTGGACCATCGTAGTCGGCCACCAGGTAAGTTTCCCCTCAGGTAAGTGCGCTTGCTTTGTTTCTTCCTTTTGTTTTGTTGAAGTTCCGCGTCGTACGCTGCGCTTGCTGCCTGCCCTTTATATGCTAGTCTGTCTGTTAATAGCTAAACGACTCCCTCGATGCCTGCTGCGATTGTCTGTCCGTCAGTCTATGTCACTCTCTACTAATAGCTAGGTGTTACGGTGCCTAACTTTGTGTGGTGCCCTCACTTTGTCTCTGACTGGTGACTGTGTCCGCTTGTCCACTCCAGTTTTAAGTCCCATAGCGTTAGGTAGTGTGTATGCTCTCTCCTACTTCACTCCATCACATCATCACCTCACCACCAAGGTCCCAGGCTAATTTGGGTCGTTCTCTCACTAACAAAAAGTCGTGGCCCATAGTGGAGTCCGGCAGCCGTCTGGGATAA